AACAAACTGGTTTTCCATTTTTATCCAGTTTATTACAAAAAGAGCACATATAAAAGGATAATATACAAGCCATGAAATCAAATTAAAATTAAAAAAAACAAAACAGAACAGTTTGGGTTTAGCAATGCAACTTTTGAGATCATTATCATTATTATTAGTAGTAATAATAAATAAAGTACAAAATTCCACCAAATGTGAATCTAACATTTACCCATAATATGCTCATCCATTTCGTCATCAACACACTCATCACCATTAATGCGCTATTGCTTTAATATTAATGATAAATAGTTCTATTTTCAGATAAAATATCCTATATTGAAAAACATTGCGCAGTCACAGCTAAACAGCAGATTTTCATACAAGGATGGCGGCAGCCCTTTCACTGGCACTTTTTGGGATATTTTCTCTTCAGTTTTGTTTTTCAGATTCAAGCAGCAACAAAATTAATATTTTTTTTTTCTGTTATATTCTTTGTATATATTTTCACCATATACTATTAAACCATTGAGACTATATTGAAACCTGAGAAAACATGCATTTTTAGAAAAAGGTTGTGCTTTAAAGTCCTTGCCTTCCTTTTAGACTGTGAAAGGAAACAGAGGGTAAGATCGGGAGGGGAGGGACGGACGGTAAAACAATTCAAAACAAATGGAAAGAAGAGGAGAAGGAAAACAGAACAGAGGAGTGAACTGAAGAGAGACTACGGTAGTATTTGTAAAGCCCACAGTGAAACATGCCTCGTAATAGTTGGAACTATTTCCACTACATGTAATGCTTCAAACCAGCAGCTAGTTTGGACAGTTTGAACTTTTGAGCAAGATGGCTTTTGTTAGACTCCTGTCGAATGTTGTCCTTCATTCCCTCCGTTCGTTTTTCTTTAATTATGCAACCAATAAGGCATGGTGGCTTCATGGATTGATTGTTGTTCATGGTTTCAGTAATATGGAAATATCTCCTAACACTTAAAGCGAGGCACTTGTTATGCTTAAGTCTACACACTACTTTGGAAAAAGGAACTGAAGAGAAACACCAGAGAGATGAAAATTAAAAGAGATACAAAAGAGTTAAAGCGAAGGAACATGCTTCATTAAGACCCATAGTGCATTGTGAGAAGCAGAGCGTTAAAAAAACAAAACAAAAAAAAACAAAATCCAGTTAGTTTAAATCAGCTAAACTACTAAACTTTTTTTTGCCAGTGAGAGGGTTCCCATATTTAAACAAGTGAGTGCAAAGAAAAAAAAAAAAGAGAGAGAGAGAGAGAAAGAAGAAGTCACAAACTAAAAACCAATTCACTTCAATTGCAGTTTGTCCACTACATCACAGCATGGGGGGATCAGAGAAATTGCATTGAATGGAATGTAACCAAGATCCACAGCACCACATGAGAGAGAGAGAGAGAGAAAGATACAGAGGGATAAAGAGAGAGAGACAGAGAGAGAGAAAGAGACGGAGAGCGGGCTCAGTAGCTCAGCCTTGGACAGTAAACATCGCACAGCCAGCTTGTGGAGAACAAACAGCAGGGCTAAAGTTTTTTTTCTTTTTTTTTTAGTGTTCCAAAAAGTACAACTGCATGCAAAGCATTCCCATTTAAAACAATGCAAAAATGAGGTAATAGTTTTTTTTTCATAGCGTTTTTGTGTTATTTCTAAATAAATAAATTATGATTCAGTTGCCCCCCGCCCCTCAAAAACAACCAAAAAAAACTATATAAAATTAAATACATACCCACAATATCTACAGTTAGTAATAAATTATGATTGTTAAATACTTAAGGCATCTCAACTGACAACACCCTGTGTAAACTATGAAAGCTTCATCACAGATGACTCCACTACAGGAGGAGGCAGTGTCAACACTGGCAGTGCACAAGACAGGGAGAAGTAATCCTTGTTAATTGATCCTCGGCTCCACGAGGCTCCAAGAGTCCCCGGGGCCCGGTCTGATCCTTTTACTATCACAGTGCATAGGACAGTGAGGGTCCTAAAGGCATCCTGTAACACACAGCTCTGTGGAACTGAAGTGACAAGCCGACACAAAGAGTGATGAAAGAAGGAAGAAAACAAACAAAAAAAAAAAAACAGAAGAAGTGGCGGTAGAGAGTGAGCGAAGCAGTCGACTTGTTTTAACAGCCTGACTGTTTCCCTGCTGTCGTGTCGTCTCGCGTCTGTGTGCACTGTGAGAGGGAGGCTGCCTCCGTCGCACCACGTTCTACATGTTCTAGCGATACAGCATAGCAACCAGCATAGCAACCACGAGGGGAGGTCTGTCACACGAAATACAACAAGATCAATACGCAAGCTCCTCTCCCAGCTGAAACACTGCATGAATCTATACCTAAATATAAACCGAATGCAATACCGAGGAAAAAACTTTTTGTTGCTATAACTATTGTCACATGTGCTTGTTCTTTAGGCAATAAGGTAAACATCAAAAAAGAGGATCCCGTCGTCGCCGCCGCCAAAGAGGGGGACAGGATGAACACACGCTACGAGTCAGGGGAGCAACCGCTGACTGACTTTTTTTTTTGTTTGTTTGTTTGTTAGTGTTGAGAAGATAGTCACAGCTCAGATTAACTAAGTCATGCACAGGCGTCTCCGTACCGTTTTAAATTGAAGTAACGCTACCAAAGCAAACAGCCCAAGTCCACAATGAAACATGCATTTTTAGTACACACTGTTCTGCCACTGGCCCCGCGCCAGATGAAAACGCAGGTACAAGGGCAGCTAAATCCTCCCACCTCGCTCTGCAGTGCATGATAGATATCTTTTTTTTCATCCCTTTTTTCTTTTTTTTGTTTTTTGGCTTTGTGTTGTATAAGCACTCCAGTGGCCATGCTATTAACCTACACTGAGTTAAAGACTTGGTGTTGCCTCGAACCCTTGAAACGCACTCACTCTAACACGCATTTGTTAAACACATTCTTTAAGTCTCACACAGCAGGGCAGAGCTCACACGCACACGCATACATGTGAAACCTGTGTGCAGCTACACCGTGACGAAATGCATTTTGGTAAAACACTTTCTACCTATTTTTTTTTTTTTAACCATTTTTTTTTTGTTCTTTGTTTTTTTTTTTCTTCAAATTTTTAAACACAAAACAACTCGATCACTGGGTTCGGTTTCCGCGGCAGTGAAAGAGACCTACTCACATGACACCATCTCACATGACACCAACCCAAGGTAAATGTACAACTGTATTGCAAAATGTCAAAGCTGCATGATAGAAGTAAAACACTCAGCTAGCTGGCGCTTGGCCCCGAGAAGGCGACGGTGCACCAGATATCACTTGTTGGTTACTGCTACTCTACTACGACCACAAATGATCTTTAGGTAAACATGGCATCAGAGCGTTTAGTTTCTGTTAAGCTTCCTTGTGTGGCAGAATATTCATTTTGACGTGTGTCTGAAAAGAGAGAAATATATATATATGTATTTATATATATGTATAGAAAGAGAGAGAGAGAGAGAGAGAGAGAGGAGAGAGAGAAAAGTAGCCAGCTCAGTGTGGGGTTATGCGTTTTCCACTCTCAGGACATTAAGTCATGGCTTTGAGGACATGCTACACAGCCCAGGGCTACCTACAGTACAACACCACAACAGCGACAACACCCCACTTACGACCAGCAAGCTACAAGTAAACCCTGTGTACATGAGTATGTGTGTGTTTTTGCGTGTCTTTTGCTTCCAGAGGGATGTGCTTCTATATAAAGAGAGTCCATCGCGGCCTCTCGTGCAGTTAGTTATCCTGGCTTGGCTCAGTAAAGCGTGAGTCAGAAGGGTGGTGATGTCACATGAAGTCTGGAGACATTTGGCAAAGCACCCAACGGAGGTGGGGGGAGGGGGGGAGGACCGGCGAGCCGGGGTGGAAGAAAAAGCAGGAACCACACGAGGGGTGATCGAATCACGAGGTGGGGGTCGGAGCTCATCAGCTGTCGGGGTTCAGCTGTGTTTCGATGTCAACTCGACAGATTGGACACTTCCTGCTGGTGGCCAGCCATTGGTCCACGCAGCCCTGGTGGAAGAGGTGCATGCAGGGCAATCTCCTGGAGGACAGAGAGACAGAGGGACATTAGGACAATGGCACGATCGACTCTCCCAGTGCGCACAGCGATGTGCTCGGAGAGAACTTCTGAAATGAGCAGGGAGTTAATTTTGTTCTTTCAGGCATGCAGAGGCGACTTCTGTTGAGTCATCAGTCCCACACGCCCCTCAGACAGCTGAGACTCCATATGCTGTAAGCCGACCCTCGCTCCTCATCCCAGGGCACAGTTCTTATTCTCTGAAATTCACTCCCCAGCTTTGCTTTAGGTGCATGTGCAAATCCAAGTGTTCATGTCAGTGCTTAAAGCTGAGGTAGGCAGCATTTCTGTGGTAGCACTAGACATAGAGTGGTCTGAGAAGAAACCAGAACCTCCTCCTGGCTCAGGCTTCAGTCTTTAGAAAATCTAGACCACGACGGGAGAATTAAGCCAATTACAGGGCTTTTCCCCACACAGATGAGACAGTACAAATGGAAACAAAGTCTGTAGTGACAACATAGGGACGCACTATGATGCAAAATGTGTTTCGCTTAAAGGCAAAGTTTTCAGTGTCAAGATACTGGCTCTCTTTTAATGTTCTTAATCACCATAAGCTGCTCCAAAGGAGGTTCTGTTTAGTGTTTGAGCTGAAATTCTTTTCCAGATGATGCAAATGCTTTCACAGGAACCTACAGTCGGCTAGTTTTAATGCTTGTTCCTGATTCGCTGCCGAGTCGGTTTTACACTCCTGGTACTGGACTAATAGAACACAAATTAGAAAAATTGTTCAGATTTATCTCAGAGAACTTTGATTTGGCCAAAAACAATCATGACTTCCACATATCTTTCATTATATGACAGCGTCAGACCTAAATGCTCTTGCTAAGTATAATGTTTAAATGTATGACGTTTCAAGTCAGAGAGCTCCAACGTGCAGCTGTCACGTTAGAAATAAGCGGCTGTGCACTCAGGTGAAAAAAGAAATATTAACTTACATGACTAACAATTTTCTCCCAGCGTTTCTCTCGTGCATCATTTGCAGAGGCAGCTCTTTTCACTCTAATACATTTTAATATTCTTTATAGCTCTCCATTATAACAACCTGTTCCTCTTGACTGAAGTAGGCGGCAGATAATCAGACTATTTTGTGCAGATAAAGAGTCAATTGACACGTCAAACGCAACCTTTTATGTGAACGAGCGCATGGCCTGATGAAGAAAATGTAGCTAATAAAGACATTTAATAACCACTGACGTGATACCCTCCATCTCTGCTCAGGGTTATAGGCTTTGTTGAACCGGCTAACACAAAGGAAACCTGGCTATATCTTTCATGGCACAGTATATTAGGTGGCAGACTTTCCCTCAGGAGAGCGAGGTTTGAAACCAGAGTATAGCCACATATAAATATCAGCTTTTCGCTTGGTTATCTTTGTGCATTTTAAATGTGTGCTCCAGTGATGTTAGGTTCTTAGAGCAGAGAAAGGAGAGGGAAGAGCTGTGAGTAGAACGGCTGCATATTTATAAGTTTTTCATTAATTTATTTGCCGTTTCCAGACTTCTGCCGACTTCAGCATTAAAAGAAAAATCCACATTTTGGGAAATACACCTTTCAGCTTTGAGTTAGATGAGAGGATTGAAAGCTCTTTCAAACCTGTGCGTCAGATATGAAGACGCCAACAGCCACTGTTAGCTTAGCTTAGCATAAAGACTGGAGGAAGCAGCTCGCGTCACTTTGCTAAATGCCTTCCACTTCGAGAGCTCATTGATTAGCATGTTTGTTTAATTCATAGGAAAAAAACTGAGTGTGACTGTAGCCAAAGTGTAAATACGTGGGGGAAGAAGTGTTGGACTATCTCTTGTCCAGGACCAGAAACTTCTTGGATGCTCCACTAGTTGCCAAGCAACCACACCACAAACTGTCATTTTTTTGCAATTCTAACCTCCTAATCAGTGATTTTGTCACCATTTGGGGACCTGATTCACAGCCTTTACACGACCACCAACTGTCTCCTGTAGCTTCATATTCATCATACAGACTTTAGTGTGGTATTGATCCTCTTATCCAACTCATCACCCAAAACAGAATAAGCAGATTTCCCAACAATATTTGACTGATATACAAAAGCATTTCAGACCTGACGTCCTCTCCGTCCTCCAGCATGGACAAACAGATGGTGCATTTCTCATCCACATCTGTTTCCTCCTCCTCCCCAATCTTCAGCTGCAGGGGCTTTCTCTGTAAGCAGGTCGCATTACATGGAGACAAAACGCAGGGTCAAAAAAGGGTGAATTTGTTCAATGGGTGTGTGTTATTCCTGCTATCTGCTTTATATATATACCTTCTTGTATTTGTGTGGAAAAGTGAATCTCTCTATAGTCGTCTGAACAGCTCCTCTGCTGACGCTCCCCAGTCGGTCCTCCAGCTGCAACAGCTCCTGCAGAAACGGTTGATGTTGAGTAGAATGAAGCAGAATACTAATAGAATGGGAAGTGAGTTGAGATCATTCTGGTTGCTGCTGTTTTAGAGGTCAAAATTTAATCATTATATGCGGAAAAAGTAAAAGTAGTCTGCCGATAAAAATCATGTGATATCATCTCTACAAAATAACTCCTACAAATAACTTCAGCTGAGGTTGTTTTGTCAGCTAGAACACAGTACAGGGGTTGCACAGTGACACAAGACAATTCAGGGTTTGAAGGATGGATGGAAAGTTTTGAGTGTTTTAAATAATGATTTACCTCGTAACTTTCCCGCACAGCAGTGGCGTGCCTCGAAGGATTCAGACTTTGCAGCGCCAACAGATGCAGCTGGGGGTACGGGTAGTTTCTGATTTCATGCACAACCTGGTGAAACAAAGTTCTTCATCATACTGCAGCAAGTTTCATCCTTGAGCCAGTTGTTCACCATTGCATTGACGCATTTTTTAGAATCCTGACGGCAACACAAAAAACATATCTGTGTTCTCTTTTGCAAAAGCAGCTAAAGTTGGTGCTTTCTTAAAACTCTTCATACAATCTTGGTATCAAGACTGTTGATACACACTTTACATGTGACTGATTATTGCTTGATGTTTGTACCTAGTAGGTTTCATCATTGCAATTTTCAGGCTTAGACTTATATATGACTATGTATCTATGGAAAATATGTCAAACTAAATATTATTCTGATAATAAAACTCAGAATAAGGGGCAACTTGACAGCTGAGTGTTTTAAGGCACGAACCACATGGTGTAAATGCCATCAGCAGCGAGTCCCTGCTTCAGCCTGACCTTTACTGCGTGCCATTCCTCCACACTCTTTCCCCACATTTCCTGTATGTCTCTGCTGTGACCGCATAAAAGCCTTAAAATTCATGCTAAAAATAGCAGCGTAGAGCAATCTGCTTCCAACATACCACTTGTGCAGAGGAAGTGTTCCTGGGGAAGTGGTGCATTCGAGGGGAGGCCAGGTAATGCTGATAGTGCTGCGGCAGCTGCTGGAGTTGGTACTGATGGTGAGGGAGGCCGGCATCTACGCTGAGATCCCTGCAGAAAGACAGGCAGGAGACTAAATCAGCATTGTCGTCCGTGCCAGGCACTGTGACAGATGGGTGCAGAGATGAAAGGACGGGGATAATTTCTCAGCTCGGCGGGACTCTCGTTAATCTCCGACGGAGAACTCACCAGTCAGTGCCTTCGGCCAGGTACCGTGGCTGCTGTGTCATTGGCTGGGGAACATGGAGGGGAGGGGAGTACTCAAAGCCGGAACGCAGTCGGTGAGGGTTCAGGGGAATACGCTCCTGGGTTCTTCTGCAATTAGAAGAGGAGATTAAAAAAAAAGTTTGTTTGCTGTGAATATAAAATGCGTCTGAATGTGTGTGTCATTAGGGTGCTACCTGGAGTGCGGGAGAATCCTGCGATGCTGCGCTTCAAGGAGCTGCTGCTGGATGAGGTATTGCTGGTGTAAGGCCTGAGGTAGGAATGAAGGCCCCGGCACATCCTGGAACTGAGGGGGTGCAGGCAGGGCAGTGAGGGGCGGATGGTGTGCGGGGGGCAGGTGGGTGGCCAGGCCTGTCTGAGGCGGCTGGCTGGCGTGTCCCAGAGGGAACTCGGCTGAGATGGGCGCCTGGGGAGCGCCCAGGTGAAAGTGTCGGCAGGAGGTAGCATGGCTGTGTTGATGCCTTGTGAAGTGTGCTCCTATACGGGAGATAAACGCCAGCCATCAGGATTAAGCTTGAGATTACTTTCATTCACGCAGACGCCACAGAGACAGACAAACCAGTCAGGAGTACATACTGACACATAACTGCAAAAAACAACACACTTGATGAGACAAATTTGTCCTGTCTGGCTTTCACACACACACACACACACACGAACATACAAAAACACTTAACAAGCAAACACGCAGACAGAACATTAAAAACAGGACGGACTCGACAGAGGAAGAGACAAGACAGACACAACAGCAGATGGACAACACAGACACTGAGACCCCTGTGGAGCAAAATCTAAACCCACAGACAGATTTCACCCAACGTCCTGCCTCTCCAATCGCCATACTGGGGCCTGCAGGGAAGACGGATCTTCCCCAACAGCCTGAGGTGTTTCCAAGAGCATCCAACAGCGCCAGTGGCTGTCTGTGATCCACGGCTAGTTAACTTAATAGATTATTATGTCTGCAATTTGAAGGTGCATTAAAAGATTCTGCTAACATTAAGGCACCGCAGCAAATGAGGTCGGCTCAAAAGATTATGCGCCTCCATTTCTACCTTCCCCCACCCTTCCTATCAGAGGCGGAGGAGACATGAGATTGTGTGGTAGTCCCACTGAACCGCTTCGCTGTTGACTTGCACAGAACAATCAATACAAATTACTCTGTGCGAGGAGAAATGAGGGCTGCGAGGAGGGTGAGGTCGGGACAAACAATAAGTACTTCAACTTCCCATTACAGCTTCTCTGGCTTTCTGGACCGGTAAGCAGACAGCAGAGTTTGGAGGATGGATAGTGCAGAAGAGTGTATATTTTTTTATAAAAAAAACCTCAGTATTGTGTGTTTTCATGGCCCACAAACAGTCCATTCAAGTGATTTACACTGTTTCAAGCTCCATCAGGCAGAGTAGATCAGTTAAACAGTAATATGGAGTGACACTGCATGTCTAATATGAGCAAGAGGGAGGATTTGGCTGTTAGTTAATGGTTTGTGATATGTTTTAACATTTGCTGACACATTTAATTAGCAGTGGACGGTTCACTGAGTTGAGATCTAATTTAGAAATTATGGAGTTCACGGGAAAGAATCAGAGGATTTTCAATGTAAACACCAAATCTGGTACATAGATCTACATATTTATTTAAAGTAATAGTTTGATTTATTAGAGAATATGCTGATAAATAAATGAGAATATTAATACCAGTCAACCTTAGCTTGGCACAAAGTCTGGAAACAAAAAGCCTTGCTGTGGTTACAAACTGTGTCTAGCTGCTCCTCCAAAGCTCATCATGTCTGTTTAATCTACAAAAATCTAGACGTAAACGCAGCTGAGACTCAATTAGTCACCAGTTTAAGCCAAGTAATGGTTTGGCACATAATTAAATGGTGAATTATCACTTTTAGAACAAACGAGATATATTAATTAGTGAGCTTCGGAGGTACAGGTAGGATGATGATGTCATCTTTGGGAAGAGTCTTAAGCAGATTCCCAAAAGGTCAAACTATTCCTTTAATTCTTACTGAAATGACATATTTGCATGGTTTTGCTCGGTTGCATATGGCCTTGGGACACGGGAAACCAGTGAACCTCGAGAGCCATGAGCAAAGAGAAAACAACATTTGGCTGAGGAAGTAGAGCAGAAATGGCAGACCGGTGGTTTGGATTGGTTAAAGGCTGTACATCAGATTTGTATGAAGCCTGTGACCCGGTAAGGCCGGACTCCATGTGAGGCTCGAGGTAAAAAAAAAACAAACAGATTATTCGTCTGTGGGCTCCTCCACGGTGTGAACTTCTGACATTAATATTTGACATACTGCAGAGCTGCCGGCAGCAAACAGCCCTGATGTTGTTATTGTTACATCTGGGCTTTGGACACAAAATGCCTGATTGGCGCAGCGCGGACCCCCACCCATGCACCCATCCACCCACACATCCCATCCACTTCTCCTCACCCCTGAGCTGCTACACAGGCGGCCCCTCCCCCACGCTGTGGCTGCGGCATGGTGTCCCAATGTGAGTGACAGCCCCGTAAGCCCCGCCCACCTGCGACTGCAGCAGTCTGGCATGGAAACCTCTCCCTCCCTTCAACCCTCCTCCTCCCCCTCCAGCTTCCATCACTGCAGCTTTACAAATCACACCTCCTCTCTAACATAATCCTGTCCCTCCGCCTGTCCGGTGGTCCTCCATCATGTGACACACGACCGTCCCCGCACCTGCTGATATCACTGATTTAAAGCCTGGCAGTCAGGTGAGGGGTTAATGAGTGAAATCAGCCTCTGTGCTGCACAGCTGCACAGAAAACCTGCATCCGAACGGGCTCTGCGTGACACATGCCTGCACTGACCTTGCTTCTGTGCATTGGTCAAATAAGGACAGGGTGGGTGGAAGACATAAAACGTCGGTCTGTAGCTGCGCAGCTACTCTGGAATAACATATGCATTACAGCTGCTGAGTTATTTAAAAGTCTGTTGCTGTAGCCGGTGGAGAAATTTTGCCGAGCACACATGGCTGCGTCTCAGGCACACCTTGTGTCTGCACATAAATAACTCAGACTATTTCAGACATTGTGAACAGATGTAAGGCTCAAGTGGTTGGAACGCGCGACAGCAGCAAGTCCCAGATTTTGAAACTGTTTAAATTTCTGACTGTATATTTAAAATGTGCTTCTAAATGCTTACAATTTGTGACACCAGAGTGTGTGTTGCACGCTTTGACTAACTGTTCCACCTTCAGACTTTTAAGAGAAGCTTCTAATGCTTCATGCAACACTTCACGATAGAGAGTAGATTTTTATTTTTAATGATTTTTAAAGCACAAACAGGATCCGAACATGGACACACAGTGATTGTGTTATTAAAAACCATTAGCAAGTACCAGAAAGTGAAATATTAGTTATTTACTTCATTGACTTTTACTTAACGTTACTCAATGTGAGCCTAATTGGGTTTATTTATGCTGTCATCACGAGCTACAAAGACACAACTATGATGAATTTATTTATTTTCACATTATAAAACTGCAAACAGCAACGTGTTGCTTTGTAATTTAAGAGTTTATTTAAAAATGTGTCAAGGTCTGCTCTGCTAATTAACAAGCCACTTGTCTGCATCGTTGCATAAAGACACAGAAGTAAAAACTTGGCTTAACTTAGCACAAAGACTGGAAACAGCTCGCCTGGCTCCTTCAAAACACCTTCCAGCCTCGGTTAGAGCTCATTAATTAACACGTAATCTGTTGTTTTGCACAAATAAATCTAAAGTGTAACAATGACACGTTTTACAGACGTAACCCTCTACACAAAGCACTGACGTTTTAACACTTTGTTTTATAAGAAGGTAAAAAGAAAAAAAAATTACAAGTGCCGTCAGGTGCCATTAGTTACTGTAGGACTGGAAAATTTGTGAATGGATCATTCACAAATGATCCAGGACTATTTGGATCGATTTCCAGTTGTTGTGCTAAGCTAAGCTAGCTGGCTGCATCTTCATGTTTTTCACACACATGTGAAAGTGCTATTGATATTCTCATCTACCCGTTACAAAAGAACAAGTGGAATTCCTACTCCTTTAATAACACGTAGAGGAGCCTGCAGAAGAACGCAGCCCCGGGTTTAATGTATATGTAATGAAGAGAGACTTCAGAGGTCCTTGGGTTTAGATACGAGCAGATACTGAAGAAAGGCTGGGCCATAGCGTGATATACCAACAGATGATTCATGCTTCATATTGTTTACACCATAACATAAAACCCTTTGTTATCTTTGAGTGTTTCCGAGGCGTGTTGCTGCTGAAGCACCGACATCTGTCAGGTGTTTAATTTGCTGGGTTAGTAAAGTAGTAGTATTCATCTCATTTTATCCATTCACATCTTCTCAACTGACTTCCCATAAACCTGACAAAGTAAGGAATTACATATACCATGATTTTATCCATTTCACTCGACACCAATGAACACCAGTGAGTGGATGTGAGGGAGGCTGTGTTTTAGTTTTATAAATAGTTTATGGATCAGGAGGTAATGACAGCATATAACAGGAAATATCGATGCTGGTGTGTTTCCATATAGACATGCCTTTTTTTTTCTTTTTTTTTTTAAACGGATAGGAAATTTGGTTGCCCCTACTCCAAAGTCAGCAGAGCAGCAACTTGAAGAAACTCTGTCAAAGACAGCTGAGAAATGAGAGCACATATAGAGTGAGGGGACCGTCTCAGTGACAGCACAGTGTGGAGGGAGGAGGGGAGGAACACATGGAAATCAGCAAAAAGCACACTGAAGGTTAGGAAGAAAACTACAGTCTTTATTGGAAAATATTAGTATGTGTGGCACTGTGTGATAATAGTAATAATAAGAGTAATATATCCTACATAACCATAATAATACCATGCAAATAAAGACCAAAGGCAAGGCCTGACCATGCTCTCTGTAGGGTTAACAGAACAGAAGCAGCATCCAATGAGTAGATGTGTATGCTTACAGCACATTTCAGTACAGCAGGGACATCTCTACACAAAGATTACATTGGAATCTGCTGTTCAATGTGGAAAAACAAAAGTATAAAAATGACCATGCATTAGGATCTAATACAAGAACATAAGGTAGAAAACCACAACCAAAGAATAAAAGACATTTTGATTCTAAAAAGGAACTCTACAGCAGTGCAGGATATACACATCCCTGTAAAATGGATAGCATTCTGGAGGTGCTGGAGGAAAGATTTGAGAGGGGGCTGTGCATGATTGTGGGTTTTTTTTTTTCTTTTTTCTTTTTTCAAAATGGCAAGATGAGTTAGACCTGCGTCTCGCCAATTTATTGTGAAATCAATTCAGCTAGCAGGAACAAAGGCTTTGACACATGGATAGGAATATGATCAGCCGTTTGGACGCCACTATAACAGGTGCAGTGGACCATCAAAGGTGAAAATAACACCACACAAATTACTGTGATTTCAGTAGTGCAGACGCTGGCCAATTAGTGAGCGTTAGGATAACAGGATGATTGGTAATAAAGTGCTTTATCAACAACAAAAGCTGGTACAATGCACCTTTGCAAATAGGGGATGGAGACAGTAATCAAAGAGTTCGATCAAGCTTGGCTGTAATCGAATCGGGGAGGATCAAAATGTATCCACTTTACAGAAATTTACAGCAGAATGTAGTCTATCCACACTGAATGGGAGAATCACAATGACAGTCTGTAGTCAAGTCTAACGCTACAATGGGTTATTCACTAAAGAGCAACATGACAGTTTAAATAAAGACAAACTGTTTTCTACAGAAAGTGTTATTCTTTAGTCTGTTACACAGAAGGATACGGTATGAGTGGGAACTCGGTTTTAATGCCAATGTCGTCTTCAGATGGAAAGAGGAAATGAGGAAGAAGGGGTTCACAATACAGCTAGATGCAGAGAACAGGCAGAGGCTACGGCAGACAGCAGCAGATGATCGTTAGCTACACAATGGAGGGGGACAAAGGTCTGAGAAATGCGGAATGTAGAGCCAGCCTCGATACTATGGAACAGGAAAAAAGAACACAAATAAAAGCACAATGAAATCATTGGTGCTACTGCATGTAGTCTTTTAACAATGCACGTCAAATTACCACTATTATTATTACATAATCAACACAGATAGCCTGCTGCAGTGGGAGATGATGTTATTGTTTGTTTGTTGTGGCCAATTCAACGCCTTTATGCTGTTTCTGGAGCACCTGCAGCGAGATTTGCAGGGGGGGTGTTTTAAGGTTGAGGGGGGAGAAGAAGAAGAAGGGAGAAAAAAAAAGCCACCATTTTTAGAGCCCTGTTACAATACAGCCAGCCATATCGCTAATCTCATTTAAAAACTACCTGTCGTAAATGGAGGAAGCTTTAAGGAAAACTACTTAAGAAATGAGATTAAATGGAGGGAGGGGGAAATTTAACAAATGCCAGTTGCACACAAAGGAGCAAACAACCCCCCGTGTCAGTTTGGATTTAGACGCAGCTAAATTAACGACAAATCGTGATATTATTAGCTAAACCCGAGCTAGTATTAATCTGCTGCTTTTCTAGCGGCGGCTTCACATGAGCCAGACAGCACCGCGCTAGCAGCGGAGGATAAAAGAAAAGCGGGTGCTGCCATTTGACAGCTGCAGTCATTCGGTGCCGTTATCGGGGCCCCGAAACGGCCGTAAAACCACCGTGTGTACGGCTCCGTGGACGTCTTCGGGCACACCGTGGGGGGGTTTTTAACGGTCGCGGTTGAGGCTAAATTAACGCGACGCTACAGTTAGCAAGACGGCTAATGTCGGCTATTACCGCTGGCTCGTTTCTTTAGCTTAGCAGGTGTCAGCTCTGTTTACATCATCTGTGGACACTTAAAATAAAAATAAAGGAGACGCCGAGAAGATTTGTTAGGGTTAGAATATTAAAAAAAAAAAAAAAAGAAAAGAAACAAACCAAAATTAAAAAAACACAAAGCTAGTCATACCTCTGTTTCTAACTGAGCCGAAGACGGGCAGAACCAGATATCCAACATGTACTAACACCATCCTGGGTCCTTCTTTGTTGTGTGCGCAGCCAGTGAGACAGATGGTCCATGGAAATGATCCCCTCCAGTCCTCGGCACATTCAAACGGACAGGCTGCGCTGCCTGCACACACGGACCCGGGCGACCAATCACTGCCGCCCTCCGAGCAGGACCCTCCGGCTCTGGCAGCCCGATCCACCAATGGGAGCGGCGCCGGGGCGGGGCCGTCTGTGTTGTGGGCAGCTCGGCCCTCCATGACTGGAGCCTCCAAGCCTGGATCACTTGGAACTTGGTGGCTCAGTTTTCAAGTCAGGGACCCTCATATAATCAAGTGATACTGTTTATTAAAAGAAAAAAAAAGAAATTTAAGTGATATAATAATAAATAGTAAAGTGCTACATGCAAAATTAAGATAGATCTCTACTGCAAATCTGAAGCACTTCCTATTTAACTCTGTCCTCTCTAACAGGCTCACTTCTAAGGTCAAACAGCTTTTCTAGCTTTCTGGATCATTAGTGCAGAGAGTATATTAAAACAGTGTTTTTTTCTCACCCACATACATCCAAGTGATTTACACAGTTTCAAGCTCCATCGGGCAGAGCACATCAGTTCAACAGTAATATGGAGTGACACTGCATGTCTAATATGAGCAAGACAGGGGATTTGGCTGTTAGTTAATGGTTTGTGATATGTTTTAACATTCGCTGACACATTTAATTAACAGAAGACATTTCACTGGGGTGGGATCTAATTCACACATGGTCCAGTTTGTAGTATAGGCCAGGAAAAAAAATAATCGGAGGATTTTCTTTATAATCACAAAATCCCTCACACATATGTGCATCTAAGGATTTATTTCATTTAGTTAAAGCAAGCGTTCAACATTTTGGGGAGTATGCTGATAAATAGTAATGCCGGTATCGTGGCTACAACCTGCAGCCGGTGAGCTCAGCTTGGCACAAAGTCTGGAAACAGGAGGAAACAGAAAACCTTCCTCTGCTCCTCCAAAGCTTCCTAATCAATATCATCTTGTTCGTTAAATCTGCAAAAACCAAAATGTAAAGTCCAGACTCATTCAAATCACCAGTTGCAGCTAAGAAAGAGTTTGGCACATAATTAAATGGTGAATTATCAGCTTGCTTTTTTTTTTGTTAAATTAATGGCTCAAACACACAAGATACAGCATATTAATTAGTGAGCTTCAGAGGTGCTGTTGGATGCTGCTGCTATCTTTGGTCAGAGTCTTTGCAAAGAGAATATATTTCCCAAAGGTCAAGCGATTCCTTTAATTATTACTGAAATGACATATTTACATGGTTTTGCTTGGTTGCATGTAGCCTTGGGACTCACAAAATCAGTGAACCTAGAAAGCCATGAGCAAAGTAAAAACAGCATTTGGCTGAGGAATTTAGTTCCGCTGATAATGTTTATTTAGAGGCAAAATTAAATCATATTAAATGTTTCATAGTAATCTGCAACATTTATTCAGCAGAGGTAAATTCTGCTACAAATCTGAAGTACTTGCACTTTACTTGACTCCTATCTTTTCATGAAACTTTCTACCTTGACTCTGTTTCATTTATCTGGACCCTTCTGTCCTAACTTTAAACCAACGTCTAAGGGACCTTATCTGTCCAAAGTTTTGAGGAAACTTGCTCTTATTCAGACTTTTCTAGATAACTATGGCATTTATGAGAGGTTTCAGTCTGGTTTCAAACCATGTCACAGTACTGAAACAACTCTTTTAAGAATTTTTAATGACCTTCTTCTAACATGTGATTCAGGAAACTCAGCCATTCTGGTGCTTTAAGACCTGACTACTGCCTTCAGAACTGTGGATCACAGTATCCTTATATCGCATCTTGAACACTGTGTGGCATCCAAGGTTTTGTCCATGAATGGTTTGATTCTTATCTGACAAATAGGAGCATATTGGTTCACTTGCATGCGTTGGTTTCTGCCCCTTTTACTTGTGGGGTCCCTCAAGGATCCATTTTGGGCCCACTGAGTTGTATGCTACCCTTGGGGTCCATATTTCTGCAAATCTGTCTGCCTGTAAAAATGAAAAGGAAAGACTTTAAAACCTGGATGGTTTCAGTCTTCTCACTCTTCATGAAAATAAGACTGACATCATGTTATACCAGACTTCCTTCTGCCATATTTCCTCATGATTGTGTCGATTATTTAGGACAAATTATCCACTTAGTCCAAAAAGGAAAAAACATGATATGACTGAGCTGACCTTGTTATTTTACACCTCAACTCCACCACATTTAAGGAGGAAACAATACACAATTTGTTCGACCACATGTATTTAACAGTTATACTTAACTAGTTACTTTGATTTTTCATGTAACAAAATATATGTTTTCAAGATAAAAGGCTCTGCAGATGTTCATTGTTCTGTTTGTATTGTTTGTCTGTTCTCCATCTGCTGTCCTGCTATTCCCCCCTCTCCTCATCCCCACTCTCACCCCAACTGGTCAAGGCAGATGGCCGCCTTCCCTGAGCCTGGTTCTGCGGGAGTTCTTTTGTTTTGTCCCCCCCTTTTTTTTTTGGTTCCTTCCCACCATCGCCGACTGCTTGCTCATAGGGAATCCAAAGTGCTTTGTTTAACATCTTACTAATTAAAATGTTACTATTTGAAGTGCTATGACATGACATATGTTTTGAATTGGCGCTCTATAAATAAAATTGAACTCATCCACACATGTGTTTTCAGTTATTGCAGCTGATTAAAGCTGCTCAGGTTGGAGTGTTTGCAGAACTGTGCAGGAGTTTACACGAGGTCAGTATAGATTAAAACACATGACAACGTTTGAACTTACAAGAGCTAACAGGATAAAGGAACATGATGTCAATAAATCTCAGGCTGTGCAGACCCACAAAGGGCTGCAAGGTTGTAGTCAGACAAAATAAAGCCGTGTGTAAGGTGCAAAAACAATCAATAACAACACACTGTTTTATTATATTCAGCAGTATGAAAGGAGCCATTCTGCTTTGTAGTTGTACTAATTGCTTTTCAATGCTCTTACTGTTGATACCTGAAGTACATTTTGCTGGTAGTATTTTTATACTTTTAAGTAGAAGTTTAAATTGAAAACAAGGATACAGATGTAGTATTACTCTTCTGTTACACTATTGGACTCTTGATGGACAGTTAAAAGAAATGGATCAAAATTGATGCAGCAGACACAGAGATGTTGTCTTTTTTATACCTCACATGCTTTCTTCCTGTAAAAACTGGTGACTACATTACCCATCATGCTCAAAGAATCCGTAGAAGTAGTGATGTCACTTGAGGCCCTTGACAAGATTTCTTTGGCGCACTAACAGTAGCAGGCCATCTAAGACACTTAGGTACAGTGTTACCTAAAATCTTATTTGTGAAATCACAGTACAGCCACCAGCAACAATATGGAAATAAAATCCTAACCAAATGGAGGGCTTGGCAACACCATTAGTGCTGGACACAAGCACAGCAGTGTCAGTGTGCAGTCATATATGCAGATAGATGCTTGCAACATGTAGAAAATAAGCCCTCAGTGACTAACAGCAGCATAAAATCAGCACCTGTATACAACACAAAACAGGTAATGGCTGGTACAAACAATCTGCATGTCCTCCCTGATTACTGCACTGATGTCATTTAGTTCATTCTGGGGAGTTCTCTTTCAGTAAAAGCATGTCAAAAGCATTGTCACCACAGATAAGCTCACTGACACTTCAGTTTGTCATGTAGTCTGACCAGAGCCTGCAGGACGTGATTCCACTTAACGCCAGTCGCTGCTGGAGAAAAGTGAGTGTTGACAGGTTGATTTATGGCTGAATTAGTGTCCGCATCCGACTATTTACTGTCCAGATAGTGTGAGTGGCCGCGCAGCTGTGACAATGACAACTGAACATGAACTTTTTCTCCTCTTCACAGCGGTGCCATGCGTCAGACTTCAACTTGATCTGAGCTGTAGACTGTGAGACGGAGGAGGAAGATGGACAGATGAAGTTCTGAGTGCTCAGACACTATTATTAGGTGGGAACAAAACCAAAACATACGAAATGCTTTAACTCCAGTTGTCCTATAATCTAGAGAACACTTTTAAAATAGTTACACCTTTCCACTATATCAGATGTGATGTTATGTATATAAAGCCCTAGTTGTGCTGCTCCGGAGCAACACAAACCTTTATACATCTTTTTTTTCTAACATATACAGTCGTACTCCTCAACAGTTATGTACAAACAGACCAGGAAATGCAGAAATTAAATCCAATTTAAGTAAAGAAACATAGAAGCAGGACTTCTTGTTGGTCATAACGTGAGCATTTACTACAGAGCCAGTTTGCAATAGGAATCTTTGTTTTTTTTTTTAACAAAAAAGAAAACCCATTGGATTAAATTCAATTATACTTCTGGCTTATCTTTGTCACTTTGGGACCCAGCAACCCCTCAGACACGCTCATCAGGGAAATGTAGCTGAATAATCTGTTACACATCATTAAGTAATACTTAATTCTCATCATAATTCCTTGGAATCTTCCAAAACATATGTTGCACCCCTTTTCTGTGCTGCAGAAATCCTGAATGCTGCCCGTGTCCTGAAAACCTCTTCGCCTTTAGTGCTAAGCCCGGAGGATGAAGGAACAGATGGGCATGTAGAGGCTGAGGGGGCCACAAAACTCTTCGTCCCATATGTCCTCATCTTCCAGTTCCCACCATCTAATGCTTTAAGCCTGCAGTGAAACACAAAGAGCCTTTCACGCTGCTTTACTGTCACTGCAGGTCAAACTGCTGCAATCAGCTCCCTTTACTCACAAAAACACACATTTGATGTCATCAAACTATTAATTTATACTACAAATTATTTAAAAACACATAATATGACAACAGAAATGACTATAGTATTGTATGTTGTCTATTATTTCAATGCAACATGTCAACAGGTTGTTTCACATTTTTAGCTAAAAGAAGCTTAAAGATGATTTTTTTCACAATTTTTGCTATTAAAATAATGAATCATTCATTTACGAAGACAGTTGCTAATTATTTTTGTTAACCGAGGTGTTCTTTCAGCTTGAAATATTTAAACATTTTAACAGGAGGCAGTTTTTTTGTAAACAGCTGAGATTTTAAGTTCCCCTTAGCAGAG